ATTTATTTTATATATTTAAATGCCATTTAACAAAGAAAAATCAACCAAAAAAAATGAGTTCGCGTGTCACCTCTGACACGCGTGTCATAGGTTTGCCATCACTGGCCTAGAGCATGGTCACGGGCACACGAGAGCATGGTCATGGGCAGCCTGGAGTGTGATGACGGCGCTCTCCCTGAGGGACCGGCCAGCGCGAGCCCCCGGCTTCTGAAATAACCAGAACCTTTCCTTTCCTCCCGTGGGCTCTGCCCTGAGGGCGAGCATTTGTCCGGTTTCATGTCTGTGTGGATGGTGCTCCGGGAATTGCTTGTGCCTTGAGGCACATCAGGTCCCGGCTGACTTTCCCAGTCTTGATTATGTCTTTGCTCCTGTGAACTTAAACATGCAGGTTTATTTCTAGAAAGATCTCCCATCCTCTTCACTGTCTCTCCCTGAAGCCCCCTCTCCCCCCGTGCCTCCTCCAGAACCACAGAGAAGAAATGCACAGACACAGGGGTTTTCTTGTTAAAATTGGAATGCCACATGAACCATTTTGGGGGGGAAGTTCTTGGCATTTTTCCTCTACTTTTATGAACATTTCGGGGTGTAGGAGAGTTGGGAGAGGGGTACCGGGCCCAGTCCTGTGACATGTGACTTGGAGCCAGGAAGGAGCATCTTGCCCATTTGCTTTTCCCGTGAACTTATAACCCGAGTTGGATCCGGGTCTCCCGTGCTCCCTGTAGCACAGCGGTTCTCAAGCTGTGGGTCGCGACCCCTTTGGGGGTCGAATGACCCTTTTACAGGGGTTGCCTAAGACCATCGGAAAACACATATATAATTACATATTGTTTTTGTGATTAATCACTATGCTTTAATTATGTTCAATTTGTAACAATGGAAATACATCCTGTATATCAGATATTTACATGACGATTCATAACAGTAGTAAAATTACAGTTATGAAGTAGCAACGAAAATAATTTTGTGGTTGGGGGTCACCACAACATGAGGAACTGTATTAAAGGGCCGCAGCATTAGGAAGGTTGAGAACCACTGCTGTAGCACATGAAGCTGTCGGCGAGGGGGCCTCCTTCCCGCCGCCCTGTCCCCTCAGCACAAGGCTCCAGAGGCTCCAATGTAGCGGCCTAGGTTACTGCCTGTCCAGTTGGTTGCGTCTGCAGGGCAGCCCCAGTTCTGTGGGTGGCCCGGTGGCCCGTAAACTCGGCGTGTGATGTCGCCCCGAGGGGGTCTCGTCCCCGAGGCTGCCGCAGAGACCGCCCTGTGTTGCAGATCGGCACCTCGCCCGTGAAGGAGGACAAGGAGGCGTTCGCCATTGTGCCGGTCTCCCCTGCGGAGGTCCGGGACCTGGACTTCGCCAACGACGCCAGCAAGGTGCTGGGCTCCATCGCAGGGAAGCTGGAGAAGGGCACCATCACGCAGAACGAGAGGAGGTGAGGCCTCCCACGGGCAGACACGGCCTCCCACGGGCAGACGCACCCTCCGAGGTCTCCCGGGGCCTCTCAGGTCCCTTGGGGAGAGTGTGTGAACGCCACGTGTGAGAGCAGCAGGCCTTAGCCTTGTGGGCGAATCAGCCTGTGGTTTTCAAGACATCGTCTCCTTTGAATTCATCCTCTCTCTCTCTTTTTAAAGTATATTTTTATTGATTTCAGAGAGGAAGGGAGAGGGAGAGAGGGATAGAAACACCAATGATGAGAGAGAATCACTGATCGGCTGCCTCCTGCACGCCCCACACTGGGGATGGAGCCCGCAACCCAGGCATGTGCCCTGACCGGGAATCGAACCGTGACCTCCTGGTTCATAGGTCAATGCCCAACCACTGAGCCACACCGGCAGGTGCATTCTCTTTTTTGGAAGTCTCTGAAGTTGAAAAGATCCTATTGCTCTGTCTCCAGCTCCATCTCGGGAAACGTCAGGGCCTGAGCTTCCTCTGAGATAGTTTGATGGCTCCTAGTTTGTGAAGGTGACAATCCTTCCGTGGACACGCACGTGTCATCTCTGTGTCACTCTGGTCAGTGACTGGGCGAGGACACTGGGCGGGTGGGTCTGCCTCTGTGGGCCTGGTCCTCGGGCCTGGACCTCACGGGCAGTGCCCACCGGTTTGCTGACCATGGAGCCCCTCCCCCGTCTGACAGCCTCTCTGCCCCCCAGGTCGGTGACCAAGCTGCTCGAAGACTTGGTGTACTTCGTCACCGGGGGGACCAACTCCGGTCAGGACGTGCTGGAGGTGGTCTTCTCCAAGCCCAACCGCGAGCGGCAGAAGCTGATGCGGGAGCAGAACATCCTCAAGCAGGTGGGTGAGCTGTGGCCCGTGGGGCTGGCGCTGCGAGGAGTCAGTGGGGTCGCTGATCGGGGAGGGACAAAGGTGGCTCCACAGCTCGATCAACACTGATGTGAGAGAGACAGAGACATCCAACCCGTTGCCTTGTGCAGGGCTGGGGATCGACCTGTAACCCAGGTACATGCCCTTGACTGGGAGCCCTGAGAGCGACACTTCAGTGTGCAGGCTGGTGCTCTAACCACTGTACTACACTGGCCAGGGTGGTGTGTTCTGTTTCACTGATGAGAAAACCAGGTTACCTTGATGGGTGCCGTTGGGAAGGCGTACGGGGTGTGACTTCAGCCTAGATTCCCCCGGCCCCAGTCTGTCCTGGTGACCGCCGCCCTAATGCCGCACTTCCCAGGGCTGGAGGTCTGCGGGTCCAGGCGGACTGGACTTGGCGAGTCCTGGCCCCTGGGTGGAGGGACGTGGTGTCAGGCCGTGGCTGTGTGTGTGTGGACAGTCTTCCGTGTCGTCCAGCGATGCGGGGTTACCTTGGTTCCGGACGGACGGCTGGCTGACACGGGACGATGGCGGTTTTTGCTTTCTTCTCGCACACAGATCTTCAAGTTGCTGCAGGCCCCGTTCACAGACTGCGGGGACGGCCCGATGCTGCGGCTGGAGGAGCTGGGCGACCAGCGGCACGCCCCGTTCCGGCACATCTGCCGGCTCTGCTACCGGGTCCTCCGGCACTCGCAGCAGGACTACAGGAAGAACCAGGTGGGCGCGGGCGGCGGGTGATGGGGGTCCTCCAGGTCCAGGCTCCTGTGAGCTCCAAGGGTCACATGTACATTTTTAAAAAGATATTTCTATTGGTTTCAGAGAGGAAGGGAGAGGGAGAGAGAGAAACATCACTGATGAGAGAGAATCCAGCTGCCTCCTGCACGTCCCACACTGGGGAGCAAGCCCACAACCCGGGCATGTGCCCTTGACCAGAATTGAACCTGGGACCCTTCAGTCTGCAGGCCAATGCTCTGTCCACTGAGCCACAGCAGCCGGGCGAGGTCACCCTTTCTGACATGGGTGGTGTGTTTGCAGTAGTTCTCATCGCGTGGTCCTTTAAGGCTTCGAACGTGATTCCATGTGTTTGTGTTTGAGATGCTGGCCGAGGGGACGAGCCAGGTCCCTGTGGGGCCGAACTGGCCACTGGAGGGCTTCAGCCTGCCGCTCGGAATGGCACGCCACTTAAAACTTAGGAATTCCTTATTTTCTGAAATTTTCCATGGGATATTTTTGGACCATGGTGCACCCCAGGCCACTGAAACCTCGGAGAGCGGAATCTCGGATCTGGGGGACGCTGTACTGCGGGACGATGCTTTTGTAACCAACTCACAGCTTTTGGTTTTAAGCCTCGACTGCCCTGGGTCTGGCCTTTAAGTTTGAATTCTTCTCTGTCGTTCAAGGTTTTTGTTTTGTCATCGTAAAGACAGTGTTGCTCTCCAGCAAAGCAAAGCCCAAAGGGTTAGATAAGCCTTGTTAGCAAGGATTTCTAGACGGCCGATGCTGCCTCGCTGTTGTGTAGACGTGAAGCCCCGTGTCCAAGGGCGCCATGGGCAGCGCCCCGACAGGTGGCCGCTGGTGCTGGGTGGCTTCCGGCCC